AGGCTTGAATTTTCCTCTTTTTTTTTGATAATGTTGTTTTCCTTTTGTACACATATTTGCACCCAATAGCCTTCTTTTCCTCGGGAAACTGAACTAGCTCCATGTGTGATTTTTCTGCAAAGACTATATCTTCTCAACAATTGCACCCATCCATTTCTCTTTCTCCTGACTAGTGATAGCTCCCCGAAAAGTGGTTGGATCATCGTTGTTGATGAGAAGCGCACAAGAGACCAAGTCTTCATAATCTAATCTATTAGGAGGTCTTATATTGGTGTTGTTGTCTATCTTTAGCAAGAGTATAATTTTGTAAATCATCTGTATTAGAATCATCAAGTGTTGGTTCTGAACTTTCAACTGTCTCAGTTGCTTCTAGATGTTGTTCTAAATCCATTTGCATTATATCTGAAGTGAAACTGTTCCCTTCCACCTTATCTTGATTCTGCTGCAATATGAAATGTTCATTAAAAATTGCATCTCTACTGATCACCATCTTATTTGCAATTGGATCCTAAAACTTGTATCATTTCACACCTTTCTTGTAGCCCAGAAATATGCACTTCTTGGATTTTGCATCAAGTTTTGATTTTTCATCTCCAAGTACATGCACATAAGTAGGACAACCAAAAATTCGTAAATGATCGAAATTAACGGGATTACTTGTCCATACCTCTTCTGCAACATTGCCACCTAATGATGCCCGAGGTGATCTATTGATGAGAGAGCATGTCATATTCACAGTCTCTGCCCAGAAACTTCTAGGAATTTCTGCATTCAGTCTAAAGCACATTGCCCTTTCAGTTAAAGGCATGTTCATCCTTTCTACAATGTCATTCTGCTGTGGTGTCTTGCAGACTGAAAAATGCATCTGAATCATGTTCCTCACAATATGTTTGAAACTGCGAATATGTGTTCTCTGTGTCATTATCAGATCTCAATTACTTAAATCTTTCTGTCAGTTTGGTTCTCCACCTCAGCTTTTCACAGCTTGAATTTGGAGAAAACTTCATATTTCTACTTCAAGAAATACACCCAAACTTTTTTAGAGAAATCATCAATAAATGTCACATAATACAGAGATCATCTCAATTATGATTCCCTGGTTGGGCCCCATACATCAAAATGCACATAATTAAGAATCCCTTCAATTTTGTGTTTTCCAGTCATGAAACTGACTCTAATCAATTTTCCAAAAACACAAAACTTACAAAAATTGAGCTTGCGGCTTTTAACACCATACAACAAGTTTCTTCTATGCAATTTAGTCATCTCATGTTCACTAAGATGACCCAGACGCATATGTCATAGTTTTGTATTATCATCATCTGACTCCACAGAATGAACTCCACCTACCACTGTACTCCATGTCAGTTTGTAGATATTACCTGCAGCTAACTCTCATTTCATCACCGTCAATGCACCCATCACAATTCTGATGGTTTCCCTATCCTCATCTACTTTTAGAAATATAACCATTTCTATATATAGTGTCTAAGGGAATCAAATTCTTCTTCAAAACTGAAATATGTCTGATATCACATAATGTTCTAATAGTGTTATCATACCTTATAATTCTGACTTATTTAATTCTGACTTAACAAATACCAACAATATTGCAACATCAATCATCACCTAAATAGACTGAGCCAGAATTAGTTGACATGTATGAAGTAAACCACTTCTAGTTAGGTGTTATGTGATAAGAGTATCCTAAATCAAGAATTTATGCATCCATGAACTGAGTTGATAAAACTGAAAGCATATTATCATCACTGCAATCTGAATTGTCATTCTGCACCACATTTACAGACTTTGATGATGCATCACGTTTCTCGTTAATTTCTTTCTTCAGTTTTGGACAATTCCTCTTCATATGACTCAGCTCCTTGCACTTATAGCAATGAATCGTTTTTTATCTTTAGACTTTGATCTGAAATTTCGACTTCAAGAACTCTCCTTCTCTTTTTTCCTTCCACGATCCTCATTACCTTTGACATATAAACTATCACAATGAGAGTTTTCCCGTGCATTCTTTTTCCACTAGTTGTGAGCCAACAATATTCCAGTAATCTCATCAACTTTGATAGTTTCTTTCCAGTATATAAGAGCAGTCACCAGATGTTCATAAGAAGACGGTGAACATAACAGAATCATTTCTCGGTCTTCTCCTCAATACTCACATCAAGCCATGATAAATCTGTGATTATTTAATTGAAGTCATTCACATGTTGCGCCAGGATTAGAGTCTTCTTGCATCTTCAGCCCATACAGATTTTGCTTCAGATACAATTTATTCATCAGACATTTGGACATAAACAGAGTTTTCAATTTCTTCAATACCTCTCCTAGAGATTTTAGATTCATTATGTGATATATAACCTCATCTATCAGGCATAAGTGCATGGTTGTTGCCGATCATTGTTGCAATTCTTCGCAATCTTCATCCTCCATAGTATCTGGTTTTTTTATCCGTAAAGACTTCAAGATTTCTTGTTGTGCCAAAAAATCTTTCACCATTGTTTGTCACAATCTGAATTTTTGGTTCCATCAAACTTCAGCACTTCGAATTTTGTATTAGATATTATCATCTGAAATTACTCTTACCGTGAACTTTTCCTGCGAATTCCTATGCCTCAGAGATCCTTCATGGAAGCCGGAATTCCTTCTCGAACCGCAGTTATTTTGAGGAGAGAACAGTAGGTTATAAACACGAATCCCTCGCGAAACTGAGATGCCTTCGTCCCGCACGATTCACAAACTCTTCCCCCCGTGTGATTCGCGACTGCTCCCGTGAGATTCGCGAATTGTTCCTCTGCAAAGCACCGAGTCACGAGTTTCACTAATCCTCCACTCCGCTCGCGAGTCCTGGAAAGTGTCGTAAACCGCTCTCTGAAGTTTTGAAGCGAGCGAGCCCTACAACCGCGAATCTCTCGCCGAACCAACAGCCGGAATCGTCGAACTCCGCGCCCTAAGCCGAACCTTTCTCTCTAAATCTTTCCATGCATCGAAATTCTATTCAGCTTTGATACTAATTGTTGAGAAATTAAGGCAAAGAAATGAGAATCGATACAAATCCAGAAGAAAAACATAGAGATTTAATGAGGTTTGCTAAGGATGCCTACATCCTCGGAAGCAGAGTGACGGCTTTCTTTCAATTCAGAAAAGAGTACATAATAGCTCCTATGATTACAAACAAATATATATATATATATATAACCCTGGAGTACAATATGTAAGAACGGAAAACTACTCTAATTGGACAAATGCTTCTGCTCCACTCCAGCATATGTCCCTTATATGGTATATGAGTCATACCTAAGAGAGGGATTTTCAGGTTTACTTTTTTTATTAATTTTTAATTTTCATAATTTTGTTTATGTTTTAATTTAAAAATAAAATATATTTGTTAAGTTGTAATAAAATAATATTATTTCCTAAAACACTCAAATATCTAAAAATTATTTATTGTTTTTCAAAATAAATGATGTTGCATCCGCAAATTTTTTATCAAGCATGAATCTTGATGCATTTTTTAATAAGAAACATTCTAAATTCAAGTCCAAAATCATTCCGGCCCAGATTTCGAAAAATTTATAGTCAAACTGACGCAATTTCGGCAACACAAATCTAATGATGTCATAATAGATTTGATCTCGGTCCAAACAAGCCTAAATTGAGTCAATGAAACACAATTGAAAGTTTTAAATCGTCAATTCAATGGTCAAATGAATTTCAAATATGACATATTTATAGTTAAATTGAGCATCTCGACAAAAAGAATATAATAAGCCTAAGATCACTCAATTTTGAGGTTATTAAGGCACTCATATTCTTACAAAAACCACTATGATCAAGGGGGAATAGTGTGGACCGTTCAATCAGGTGGCTATAGAACTTATTCGCTAAAAGAACCGAAATGCCCCTCTCCAAAAGGCTATAAATAAGCTCCCTCTCTTCGGTTTGAAGGGGAGGAAGAAGAGAAGATAAATTCCAAAGCATATTCTGGAGAAGAACTGGCGACTAACCACCAACTTTTGTAGCTGCCAGCAACTATCGACCACTAGCCTCCGTAGCTACTAGCAACTGTCAACCACCGCCCGCCATCACCGCCGGTCATTTGCAACCCCTGCTTGCAATCCTTATATTCAGACTACGACTGTTGTTGGATTTCCTAACAATTATATTTTTCGATAAGTGTAATTTTCAGTATAAGATTATAACCGTGTTCTCCCTATTGTGAGAGAAGTATATCCTTGTACTTATACATATAGTGGGATTAATTTGACTAGACTATAACCCATAATATTTTTTCCTTTTCCGAACTTTTCCACATGAAAAATCTTGGTGTTTCCGCCTAATAATTTGTGGATGTCTTGAATCTTCATGCAACACTAAAACGTTAAATTATCACTCAACCGCCACAAATTTAATGCACGCAATAAGAAGTTAATTTATGTTTAAACATGTAAAAAAAAATTAACAAACCTGTTCCTAAAAACTAAAGTTAAAAATATAAATGAATAAAAAAATGATCCCAAATAAGCCTTTAACTATCCAACCATTAAAAGGAAGCCCAATTTTGTTCTAAAGTGGTTGGAAATCAACCAAAAGAGGACATGCTCTAGAAAGAGGAAGACCAGGATAAGTAAAATGAGGAGAGGAAAGAATATATCCAAGGGCATACTCAATTACAAAGTATGAATGATGCTTTTTGAAAGAAAAAACAGGTTTTTGGTATTAGTTAACCCAGGTGTTAGAGGCTTGGTAAGAGATAATCATAATATTCTTAAGCTAGAGGATGGTAACGTTAAATGATATCCTAAGAATATAAACATATCCCATATATAGGTGTAAAAAATTGTTATAATAGCAGAAAATTCCCCCAAGGCAATTCATGGTAATACAAAAAAAAAAAGATAAGAGCAGAGCAGACAAACCTGCCAGCCTCAGCAAAAATATCCATCCAAAATGCCATAAATACAAATTTATATCTATGGTGCATTTACTGTACATAAGCCACCCCATGAAAAAAGTTAAAGAGAATACAACAACAAAACAATGAAATGTTATGATAAAGTACATAAGAATAAATACATTTAAATACAATATTTTGTGAAAATAGATTGCGTATTTATAAAAGTTAAATACAAGATGTACAATAGATATTGAATCAAGCTTACGAAAACCAGCACTTAAAAGTTACCTCAGAAAGCCTCTAAGAAACCAAACTAGTTTGCCAGTCTAAGATCAGCCCAAAGAAGAAAACGCCGAGGCCGGCCTAGGAATCTGGCTTGCCAGGCAGGTTCTTCATTTTCATAAATAAAGCCGCTCCTTTCATACAGCTTTTGGGCGGCTTCATTATCCACAGCAACATGAACGTATAGGTCAGTTATACCTGAATAAAAATTGAATTGAGCTGGGTTAAGTCTTCAATACCAAAATTGCAATAGAAAAAGGACATAATATTATTACTAAAAACAAATAGGCAGTTAAAGACTAGCACACATCAAAGAGAAAAAATAGCAACACGGCATAGAAATCTGAAATAACAAAAAACATGACACAAACATTCAAATTAGGATGGATCTTAGGGTGGTGGTGGTGATCAGCGAGGGTTTAAAAGCTGGTGAGATGGTGGACGAGGTAATTGGCAAGCTGAAAACAGCAAGGCAATGGCTTCTCGGGTTCCAGACATCAAGTGTGCAACAAATATCAACGTGGCACGGCTGTTCGGGATAATGGCAGTAAAGGGGGAGAGTTGGAAAAGCAGCAGCAACAAAGATGGAGGGCTGGAATAGTAATGGGGGATGCGGTGGACTGCTGGACAGTCAAAGAAAGGTTGTCCTAGGCGGGGGCAGTGAAGAAAAGGGCTGGACAGCGAAGAAACTGCATGAACATAGCAATAGAACATGATACCGGAGTTAACCCAAACCACAATAGGGAAGAAAATATTATTACTCAAAAGAAATTAGAAGTTACAATCAGAGATACTTGAAACCATGAAATAATAAAGACAACAAGACTCAACTAAGGCTAAGGGTGAAGACGAAAGTATTGTGATTTAAGGAGAAATAGTAACTAAGCAGTTCGAAGATGGCTGGAAGAGGGTGGCAGCAAGTTTGAGGTAGTTGGAAGGGGCGACAGCAAGTTGGAGGTGGTTGGAATGAGAAGGCAGCACGTAGGGAGGAGGCCGGCAGCAAGTTGTAGATGGTTGGAAGGAGGAGGTAAGAGGTTGAAGGTGGCTAAAAGGGCCGATAGCAGGTTAGATGTGGTTGGAAAAGATGTGGCAACAAGTAGGTGGGTGGCTGAAGGGGCCATCAACAAAGTGGAGATGGTTCGAAGAGCTGGCATCAAGGTAGAGTTGGCTGGGAGGGATGGTCGACTCCGAGGAAATAGCAAGGAGGTTGTTTTCGATGACGGTAAAGAGTATAGCAACAGCGACAAGTGAGAATTGGTTGTGGGAAGTAGAGAGTGATAGATGAGCAACACCTCAGGATGAGTTATATTTGGAGCACCTTCCCGCTTTTGGATACAGCCTGGGAGAAAAACTGGAAGTTGGACGCTGACGATTGTACTGAAAGATAAAAATTGTCCTAAACACGAGAAAAAACACAAATACTACTATGGTAGCAAAGGTTGGGCCCTCTCAATTAGGCGGTAATTCCCTCATGAGGGAGGATCGTGCGGCCCCTCTCCTCCGTTAGCATTAACCGATTACCGCAACCAATTGGGCTGCTTTCTGCTGTCACGTCTTGTGTCCTGAATCCCGCACGGGAGATGCACCTGTGTTAGGGTTGTGCTCCAAGTGGCTTACAGCGAGGAGGAATGTGTGTCAGTGATATACGAGGGATGCAAAGGTGTTAGAGAAGGATAAACACCACCTGAAGACGAAGATACAACCGAAGCACTATCTGGAATCCAAGAATATAACCCTTGAAAGGAAGAAGAGAAGCATGTGTCTGTCCCCAATATAAAACACACGAAAAACTAACTTTTAACCATAATACACAACATTATAGGAAATGACTAAGAAGGAATAAAGGATAATAGAAAATAAATAATAAAAATAGAAATCATGATTGATTCGGCTCGACTCGCCATCACCCACAATAGCGGGAACTGCGTGGTTCACGGCATGCGTCCAAAGCGGAGCACTCCCACGTCAATCTCTTCGGGTTGGGGGAGCTTCAACCTCTTCCATCGAAGCTTATGTTTCCTCGTAGAATGGAATCAAGTCGAATACATTGAAGGTGGAAAAGTGGTTGCAATCTCTCGTAAGTCAATCATGCAGGCGTTGTCATTCCAAAGAACATCTTGATAGAATAAGTATTTATTTTTTTTTTGCCAATTTGAGTTGGCACAGTAGATAAACAAGTATTCTCACTAATCATGCCTCAAGCCATTACATTTGTAAATTGTTCCTCCCACTTCTCGTGCTCTGTTAGACGTTATAATAAACAAGTATATTCTCACTAATCTTTGTCTCATTTATCGTGAGCTTTCTCGCACCCTGCCCGATCGACTCCTATGAATACAAAAAATTATTGTAGTCACCAAGGGAAGAAGCTCTAGGTTGCTAAGGCTGCATTATGTTACCTTTGAAAAACAAAACCTCATCATTTCGATCTAAAATTGTATCACTGACGGCTTGATCTCTGGGTGATCTAATCCCTATTCGCATCAAATCCTCAAGAATCTCATCTTGACATGAAGTTTGACCATCAAACTCACCTATAAAATCAACATCTAATCAATAAAAAAGACTCATGAAGTCTGAGAGCAAAAAGAACAAAAAAATATGCACCAAAAACTCTTCACCAAAAAGGTTCAAATCAACAGCAGCAACAACAAGATGTTGTTCTTTCCATTCCGACAAGCCAAAAAGATGAGCTTTAATGATATCGTTCAAGTCAAGGGTTTTCTTTTCAGGTAAACAAACCTTAGGTTCAGAAGAGGACACCCCTTTCATCAAGCACTACCTCGAAAGGGTTACAATAAACCACGTTCCACCTCAACGAGTTTACAGAGGAACCCTTCTCGTGGATTCCTCTCTTCTGACATTTTGGTTCTATTCTAAGGTTTTTTTCCTAATTTCAATTGTGACTCTTCTTTTATCTGTCAAACGAGTCTCCTACCCTTTACGATAAAGAATCTCCTCCACACGGGCTAGCAAAACTCTCATCTTTGTCAGAAGAACTTTGCTCTCCCTTAAAGACAAAAAATGTTCGATGAAATGAACAAGGATCCACTTTCGTTACTACGCGATCCTATAAATACTATCGAGGAAGTACAATTATTTAAGTTTGAAGAAATGACAGTTAATATCATTGATGACATATAACTTAACTTTTATTTTTGTTTCTTGAAACAGTTCAAAAAGTGTTATAAGAAAAACATTATGATACAATATGAGTCTGAACTCGCCTATTCGGCCTAAAATCACTTCCTCAAAGCATAATCACCCAAGCTAATAGAAATTGGATCCTCAATAAATCTCAACATGCAGGGTAGGTAAAATGGGAATGGATCTTTTACACGGGAGAGCTAAGACACTCGAAGAAAGAATGGATTTCAATCAAGGATCCACTTTCGTTACTGCGTGATCCTATAAATACTATCGAGAGAGTACAATTACTTAAGTTTGAATAAATGACAGTTAATATCCTTCATGACATCTAACTTAACTTTTATTTTTGTTTCTTGAAACAGTTCAAATAGTGTTATAAGAAAAACATTCTGATACAAAATGTGTCTGAACTCGCCTATTCAACCTGAAATCACTTCCTCAAAGCATAATCACCCAAGCGAATAGAAATAGGAACCTCAATAGATGTCAACATGCAGGATATGTAAAATTGGAATGGATCCTTTACACGGGAGAGCTAAGACACTCGAAGAAAGAACGGATTTCAATCAACAACATAAATCCAAGGACTACTCCTTACAGAAGAAGCATGGAATGCCCCCCACACGAAGGTCAATCCGGGAATTTTATTGATAATAGAGAAATCTAATTCCTCACAGAACAAGCCGATGAGCCCCAAAGGTAAAAGGATTTATTCCCGAGAAAAGCCTCCTCATCTCAAAGGTCTCCAAGGAGTAAAACAATATTTATTCTCTCATTCTTTTCATGGATATCTGATCAAAGAGATGAGAAAATTGTAGAATTAAATGTATACACGATATGGGTACACAAGAATTTTTGTTAAATTTCTCTTACCGAATCAAGCCCACCTGCCGAAGTGGCTGAATCGAGCTCAGCTGCTAAAGTGACTGAATCGAGCCCACCTGTTGAAGTGGCGGACTCCAAGTCATATGCTGAAGTGGCTAAATCAAGCACAGCTATCAAAGTAACTGAATTAAGCTCACCTGCTGAAGTGGTTGAATTGTGCCCACCTCAAAGTAGTTGAATCAAGTCTACCTTGAAGTGGCTGAATCGAGCCCACCTACCTACGTGATCGAATCAAACACATCTGCATAAGTGGCTAAATCGAGCTTGACTGTCGATCCAATCATTCTCATCATCTTCCTCAAAAGGGAAGCCTAGCCCACCTGTGCAAGGGTAGTTATCAAAAGAAACCATCACGACTAAAAAAAAATCATCATGACTAATACAGACATCTGCTAATCTTTTATTAAAGATGCCTCCTAACACTTGGGACTTGATCCTTTCACCCAAGCATCAAGGAGGGTCGTCGCACCGGAAATACCTGACTTCAGCTGGTAATACCTAACATCGGCCGACAATATCTCACATCTACATCACAGTCTTCTATCAAGGTAATGGAGAAAGGAAACATATGGTACAAAATATACTACCATAATTATTTTATTCATTTTCTCCCTTATGTATAAAAAAGAAGGGAAAAAGAGAGAGAATCTTCTCTTTTCTCTCTATATCCTCCTTTTGTCCCTCTCATCTCCAGAGATCGCTTTACATCTCTATTTCCTCTTTTCTCTCTCTAAAATCCTGTAACCCTGAGAACCTCTAATGAGTTGTCCCACTCCGACTTATCGAATACCGAAATTTAATATATTTCATAAGACTCCTTCGAAAGACTCATCCAACTTTCTCTCAATCACTCTCTTTATGATCTTTTACCGGATTATATGTACTCACGAATAATACGAGACCCTACGTCTCAAAATAATTCAACATTATTGAATTTCTCTCCCTGCTTCTAAATGTGGACAATAAACAGAGCAGCAAAAGCATGTTAAAAATAAACATTGAGCATGGCAATAAAATTTCAATTTTTCTTGATTCTTGTGTGTGTAAAACTTCAAAAGGTGTCGAAAAACTACATCTGAAAGCAAGTATTCTTGTATAATTAAAAAGACCTAACCTTTCCTGTGGAAGACTGTTATGTTTCCTGTTTTGTTTGCTAGATTAAAAGTGTGATTGAACTATATCAAGTGTGAATTATACCAGATTTCCTTTTCATAATGTGAATTTAATCATTGCTTAAATTTTATACTTTTTAATGACTTTTGATGTCTAATTTCATTTTTTGATGACTAGTCAATTATCATTTGGAGCCAAAGAAGTGTGTTGTCGTCTTTACACTAATAGAGACTGATTTTGCTAAAGTTTAGGGTTGGTAACCCATGATCTGTAATATCTTCTAAGTAATGTGGTTCTAAAATCTCATGATGCCCTTCCCACAAAAGTTAAAATTAGATATGACCGATAATCAAGTAAATGAGCATAAATAAACGATGGGCTTAAGTCTCGAGTTTTATGATGATCACAAAACAATTGGTCTCACTGCAAGGTTAAAAGTATGACAAAGAAAAACATGTATATTTTTTGAGGGAAGATGTTTGACCACCCATAATTGAAGATGGAGAAGACAAATTATCCATGCCTCGGTCATGATCCCATGATAACTCAATTACTGAATCAGCTTCACAAATAAAACATTAAAGACCCTCAAAAATGTTTACAGTGCCACCGCATCTTTATTCAGGCATGGTAAGTGAACAAAAGCAACCTCTTTAATAAATAATAATTATAAAAATTTATCTGGTAATTACTGATCCATGCACCAACTCCATGTTGCTAGGAAATTGCAATTTACATTTTCTAGTAGTAAATGCAGAAGAAAAGAGATCATCACCCCAATGACGAGCAACATTTTTTGACTTAGCAATTAAAGCATGGCCTAAACCATTTCGTTGCAGCTCCTTCGCAACACATATATTGCTAAGGTATCCCCTTTTCAGGTCAGGTCCAATGCCCTGCATCAGTTGACTTTTTTTGCATAAAAATACTAAAGTGGAAACATAACTAAAACGAAAACTTAGTGAATACCATCAAAACATAGCATTGCATATTTGTTGCAAAAGCTTTTGTCGTACTGAGCATATAAATCAATAGAAATTTTGGAATTCTACATTACTAAATACTTAATTTGCATATCTCAAATTAATAGAATAGCTGAACAACTTCGGATTTTCAATTTATAACCACCTTAAAGCTTGTTTTTCATTTTGGAGACACCTGAACGTTCAACAAGCAATCATAACAGAGTGCTCGAGTGATCGTGCACATCAGCGAGCGACAATAAGAACAAAGATGGCGAGAGACTGTGGGCTTGAGTGAAGCTAGAATCCATGACACAGGAAGCTGTCACGTGCAAATGTGAGAGAACATGATCAGCACCCGAGCAGAGGTGGGGCTTGTGTTGGAAAAATTTTACATCAGGAGTCCAGACGAAGCTCTGCATCCGGACTCCAATTATATTTTTCCGCCTGTAAAGTGTCAGAACCACTAAAATTATTTAAAAAAACAAAAAAAGGTGTATATTGGCCGAAAAAACAAAGAACTTCATAAAAATACCAGTAAAACAACATCATAGAACCGCCATAATACTATCAAAATATCACCACAATAACACCAAATATAACCACAATATCACCACAGCAAAATCACAATATCACATCAAAAACACCACAGTAGAAACTCAATATTACTTTAATGGCACCACAATATCATCACAATAACACCACAATATAACTGCAATAATATCACAATAACACCGCAATATCACTGCAATAACACCACAATATGAACACCTTTTTCGTTTTTTTTTTTTTTTATTTTTAGTGGGTCGGGTACTTTAAAAGTGGCTAAATAGCTTTGGAGTCTGGACGTAGAGCTGCATCTGGACTTTTGGTGAAATATTTTTTTCTTGTGTCAATCGCAAGCAAGAGCAACCGAGTCGGTCTGTGCAAAGGCAGCATGGACTAGAGAGGAGCTTCCAAACATAAATAGAATTCATGAATTGGGAGCTCAGATCAATTATGCAGGTTCTTGCCGAATTGAGCCCAATCAGCTTCACAAAACAACATGAGAGAAAAAGAAGATCAAATTTGAACTATTCACAGGAAGTAAGGGTTTTATTTTAAGATTTACTTTAGCTACAATACTTCAATTTAGAATTAGGACTATCAAATAAGCTCATCATTCCGAACAATTCATCTCGGCTCTCTAAATAGTTCGAGTTTGATTCGTTCATTAAGTAAACGAGTCGAACACAAACAAATTTTTTTAGCTCGACCCATTTTAGCTCGAATTATTTAAATAATAAATAAATAAATAATATGTAAAAACTTAAATGAAAATATGTTTGATATAATATCAAAAATTCACTTTGTATAAATATAAAGAAAATTAGATGTTATATATGTAAATCCATAAGAATCGGTGGTATGTATATAAATTCCCTTAGAATTTTTCCAAATCCCGCACTATCATTTTTCTGCATTTAAATGTTAGGTTTAATAAATATATAAAATTGGGCGGTATGTATGTGAATACCCTTAGGTGTTTGAAATATAAATACATAAAAATTTGGTGGTATGCAAGTAAATGCCCCACTCTAAATCCATGCCCCACTCTAAATCCATGCCCAATAGGTGCATTTAGCATGTAGGTGTTAGATATGTAAATGCATAAGAACTAGCTGGTATTCATGCAAATGTCTCCAGAAAATACTTCCACCTCTTGCCTTCCACACCTTGCTTTTCACTTCCAGTGTTCAAGGAAATAGTCCCACATGGGGAATTTAGCTATTAGAACTTTAGAACTGCTCTTCAATGCAAAAGTAAAGCTCACTCATCCCAAAAGTTGCACAAACTTGTGAATTGAATTATTTCTTACTATATTATTAAAGCACTTGTAGGAAGTAATTAAATTTTTAAGTTTATTAATAACAAGTTAATTTATTATATTGTTTTAATTTAATTACATTTTATAATTACAGATGAAAATTTAGAAAGAGCTTGAAGCCAAGTCGAGTCATGCTCAAATTTGAGTCCAACACGAGCTAATCCGAACAAATAAAATATGAATAAATTTGAAAACTAACATTTTCACGAGCCAATTTGAATACGAGCTCATTTCTAGTTAAAAATAAATTCAAACGAGTCAAACACGAACAAGCTTTGAGCTCGCTCAAGTTTGGCTCTTTTACACCCCTATTTAAAATAGTAAAATATATAAAATTTACTAGGGAAAATTTATTAGGTGTTCCATGATGATGATAAAAATCTATTTTTGAAATAAAACATAAATTAATTTATTAAGTATAAATTATAGAAAGTATAAGATTTTAGTAGTATAATATAAAAGTTAGTAAGTGAATAATATTATTATTTTAAGAAATAGTTAGATGATTTAAGATAAAGTGATATATACCTAAATAATGGAAGGTTAATCAAGAGTGTAGAGGTCCATATTTCTCCTGAATTAAAGAGGATGAGATTATAAAAACAAATAATCACACATGAATAATAATAATTTTGCTATAGCAACTATAGTTGGCTACTCAAGTCATAGTTGTATGAGGTGCAATAGTCTTAGTAGCCCATCAAAGTTAGTTGGCGGTGGTCAATAACGGATGGTGGTCGACGAATGATCTCTACAAGAAGATGGTTACCTCTGCTGGTCAGCGACGAATACTGGTGGTTGTTAGTGCTCTTAGCTGACCAACAACAACCGTTGGGGCTTTAAGAGTTAAAATTTAGTAGTCACCTAACTCTTCACTTCTCCTACCCCCTTCAAAGAAAGAAAGTGGGGTCTGTTTACAGCTTTTTAGATGGATATTTTAAAAAATTTGACAAATCTCCCAAAGCATTTTATCGGACGGTCAGCATTGATTCCTTTAATCACAAGTATTTTTTTTAATATTTAAGTGTATTCTGAATGCTTTTGGGCTCATTGGATTCCTCTCACCAAGACGGTCAATTTGACTGTAGCATGCCAAATTTGAAGATTGTTTGACCTTCCAAATGATGCATTAAAGCCTTTAACAACACTTAAAGTGTTTGATATGGGCTTATTTGTCCTTGGACCGAATCGCTTTAAGTGTCATTAGGTTCTTTTTGTTGAAATGCTCCGTTTGATAATAAACTTTTTGAAATTGGGGATCTAATGATCTCGAAATTGAATTTATAATATTTCTTGATCAAAATATTTTGAGATTCGTGCTTGATGATAAACATTTGTTAATACACATCGGTTGCCCATTATTTTCAAATGTAGATGCTTGTGTCATTCAAAAATATAACTCATTGGATAAATTTTTATCATAATTTTAGATATTCCAAAAATTCGCAAGTTGATTGAAATGAGAATCTTCAACATTTTAAAAATATCTAAATCTACTCAATTATACTTCATGGAGTTTGAAAATTTTCAAAATTAAGTCCGGAATGTCAAAAAAAGACGAATAGATACTTCTTAAAAAAGACGTGATCATGTTGTCGTTGTCATTGTTTGCAGTGGTAGCTCTACAATGGTGGGAGCGGTAGCTCGACGTTTAATCTATAGTGGCATTTTGCTTCTTCTAAATTAGTTATTGATACTTGTTAATTGCATTATTTGATCCTAATTTACATGTTCTTTCATATACTATTTATATCATTGTGAATGTTATATGTTTCTCAACCAGATAAACTATTACGTATTATTTAAAGATATGCACATTTTGACAAATGAATTCCAACCCCGTATAATAAACTGATTTGTTATATTTTCACTAGCATGCATATTATTTTCTTTTTTATGCTATTATTATTTAAAAATATATGTATTTATTAGTTGGTTGGTAGCTAATTATGTTATAAACTAAAACTTTTCATGTTAAATCTTGGATTAAAATGAGTTAAAAGGAAAACTTTTATATAGGTAGTGACTAACATATTATAAATTTATTTTTTCTTATTATTATTTTTATTAGTGGCTCTTTTGATATTGTTGACCTCATTTTTGAGGTCATTTCTTTTTCCTTAGGGTCTTAGGATCTAGCTCTAGGAGTTCCTATTGACCATCTTAGAAAACTAGAATTGAGTCCCACATGTTTAGAAATTCTAACCAATTCTTATTTTTCTTTGATGTCTAACATTTATGGCACAAGACCATCGTCTTACGAACAAGCGGTTATGAGTTATTTTGTGAAGACTTAAAGGAAAAGTTTCTAATAGGACTCCAAGCCTTAGGAAAACATTTGTCATGACCTTTCGTCACATACACACACCAAATGCACAAAATTCACTGAATTGCACGAAATCGGACTTTAATTAAGCCCAGAGGACGGATGAAAATGCGAACTTCTCCGGATGACCTCCGACGACAAAATGGACTGCGCCAACGCGTCTGGGATACCAATTTTGGCAAAAGGGACACTCATATTGTCATATTTTCGACACAAGAAAATTGACATGCAAATCGATGAATTCGTCAAAACGACCTCTGACGGCAAAACAAACAGCACCAGTGCGTCTGGAATGTCGAAATTACCTAGGGAGGACACCCATTTTGCTAGGGCGCCACACATGGATAAATCGAGTGAATTTATATATATATATATATATATAATTTAAAATTAAATCAAGTTATTTTTAAGTCAATTTCAAATTGATTTTGATTTAATACAAAATTAAATTGTTTCCTATTGAGTTGGCTTGGATGAAATATGTTTGGACATTGAATTGAGTGTAGGATGATCTCTTCGATCGTGAGCCCAAGCCGAACCGACCGAGCCCCCCTCTCCGATCGCGAAGGTTCGACTCGCGGTCCCGCTCCTCGTACGCCTGTCGCCTTGCGAAAAACTTCCACCTACTCCCTCTGACGCGCTCCGGCTTTCCCCTCCCACGCTTCTGCGATTCTCATCGTCTTCTCCCGCGCGAATTGTCGTTTCTCTTGGCTCGGCTCACCGCCCAGATAAGTGACGGGA